AGAGAGAGAGAGAGAGAGAGAGAGAGAGAGAGAGAGCGCTATGCCTTTTAACTTACTCCATTAAGTTCTCTCTAGTGAGATTGTTGCTGAAGCGGATACGGTTGTTGGCGGGAACTCCTGTCCGGTGGGCCATCAAATCGGCAAAAGTCATTTCGCTTGTTCTGAAGTCATCTGGCATCTTGAAGCCATTCCCGAGAAGTTCCCGAACTTTCGAGTCGACTGTGAGGCTGGGTGTTAGGAATGATAACGAATGTAAAGAAATGAAAGATAGACAGAGAGAGTAATACGATTCACATATGTTGGTGGTTGGCATGTGCGTTGGTGTGGTTTGTTTCTTCTTTCCTATTGTCCTCATCTCTCCACTTTTTCGTGTTTGTTACAATCTTATAACACCTCTAAAATTCGGCATTTACATGACCTTGCAAGTGCCGTAAAACTTACTCAAACGATTCACATAATGACAAAATTCACGAAGTCCACAACTACATGTATTTGTAACGTTACTACAGGCCGCTGTGGTTCTTTTTCCATCATCTGGCGTGAAGAATTGCATGAACAAAAAGTTTATCATTATTTTCAAGGTCGCACTCAACCCCACTCTGTGGCGCTTCCATACAGACCTCTCAACTTACCCAAGCTGTATCTGTTATATCTACAGAGTGTATGTCTCATAGAGACTGGAGTGCTCGGTTCTGTTATTCTATGTCCTTCTTTACGGTTATTCAAAATAAGGAATCATTTAATGCCCGTTGCATGAAAAGGTAGATCTACATGAACAGTTTAATCAATAGTTCTGATGGAAAAAAGGTTCCCCGTGTTTTTTCTCCCCCCACTCAAAAAGCAACCCCAGCCAACAAACAACAAAACAAAACAAAACAAAAAAACCCTCGTGATAAAGGAACTACTGATCTTCCAAATCAACTGGCAAGTTACAGGACGTGATTATCGGAAGTCGAAAATCGAAGTCTGGTGCCATTTGCAAACTGAATTGGTCGTCCCCTTATTTTCGAGTCAGTCGAACAAAGTCTTCGAAAAAGGATGGGTTCGTTCTAGATCTATACCTCAAAGGTACCTACTTGGTTTTCTCATAGAGCAGCTTCACGAGTAGAGTGGCCGCAAACCCTTTGGATACTGAGGCGATGCCGAACACGGTGTTA